TGGTGTCATTTGCTAGAATCTGAAGTGCCTCTCAGAGGGAGGGCACTGCAACATACTTCAGATAACATTTACATTCACTTTTAATGCATTCCAAGGAATAATTTTATTTTGTGATAAGTGAAACAATTTAAATTTAAGAATTTCAGCACCCTGTTTTTGAATAAGAGATTATTATATGGATTATTTGAATTTAAAAAGAATTTTGGAGAAAAATGAAAGTTACACATGTGATGGAATAAAAATTTAAAGCAACTAGTATAAGAATGAGTGGAAAATTAACTGGTTCCAGAAGGCACTGCTTTACAAGTCAAAAATCAAGTAACAAGAGGAGTTTTGCAAATATTCCAGCTTTAATTAGGTATGTATCAGTTTCTGCATAGAGAGAGGAAACAGGAGCACCTTTAAGGAAACCTAAGATAGTTTCGAGGAGTTTGTTTTGAAAAAAATCCATTGCATTAAATTGATAGTGAATAAGGTTGCATGAATTAGTCTTCTGTGAGGAATTAGCTAAAAAGTTAACTAAAAAGTTAGTTGGTGCTTATTTATCTCATGATTTTATATAACGTCCATTTTGATAGGACACTGTTAAAAAAGAAAAGAAGGACAATGAAACCAGGAGTAGTCAGCATAAAAAGCTGTTTGCTAGGTAGCTGTATTAAACATCCAGAATTTGGAAATTTTCAGGCAAGCATTAGATGTACTTCTGGATTCTGCATGCGCGCCGGCCGGCAAGTCTTCAAGTTACTACCACCATGCATGCTTATGCTAGAAAATGGAACACCAGCTCTTCCGGTTTCCAGCACTGATGCAAGCACAAAGGCCAGGTGATTGTCACATATGCATGTGCACCAGAAACCTGGAAGAGGAATGGGCAACGCCGCACATGCCAGTCAACATGACTCCGCGTGCCCCTTCAGGCACGCATGCCATAGGTTTGCCATCATGGACATAGAACATAATATTTCTGCCTTGGATAAATAGAAACTCGGTGCAACTACTCATTTGGTGATTGCCTAGCACTTGTGTTGCTCTTGAAGTGTGGGCTGGTTTACTCATTGCCTTATTCCTATTGCAGTGAAATGTCATTACTACCATAGAACACCCTAAGGGAGAATTTTGCTTTTAATGCCAGATGTTGTTTGATGGGAAGTCTTCAGAAAATTACCTGAATCCATGAATTAAAATAAGTTAATTTATACAGATAAAAATATAAAACAATGTGTTGATTGGCACTAAACCTTCATCGTGTCATAATTCAACCTATAACCCTTGAAATAGGATATAATAAATATAAGAACAATAGTATTTTGTGACCTGTCTCTACTAGTTGGTGGCAACTAGGATATAAAGCAATCAGCCACCATAGTAAATTATAAATTCAATTAGATATATGGTTTACCAATTGGCAGGACACATGTTGATAGTAGGATTTTCATAGCTGGATTGAGATTATCTGAAATTATTATTAATAATATTTGAAAAGGCTAATTGCAGAAAATGGGTTTTTACACATTTGTTTCTGCAATGAATATTTTTTTTCTTTTTGGTGAACAGATTAGATGCTTATCCAAAACATACATAGCCAAACAGCAAATAGTTCATAGTCCATTATTTTCAGTGATTCCAAAATTTGGAACTGTGTTGCTTATGTGTAACCATCTTGATCCATTATGATTATTGCTAAGCATATTTACACATATTTATATAGTTATCATAGTTATCAGACCGAATGAATGTGTGTATATGTGTATATACACACACACACACATGCTTGAATGTATGCATCTGAATATTGCATGCAAAATTTCCAGGCTGCAATATTATTTCCCAGGATCTTCTAAAAATATCCTTGTCTTCTAAAATACTCTTCTAAATCATTTTCATTCCAGAAACATTATTCTGTAATAGGGTTAAGTGGTTTAGTGCCATTGAAGTCTTTTGAGTGCAACTCTCATCCATTCTAGTTTAGCACAGCTAATGCCAAAAGACCGTAGCAGTTGTTGGTTACTATTCATGGAACAAATCCTGATGCTGAGGATTCAGTCCCAGGACATCTAATATCAAGGGCAATGAGAAAGGTTATTATTTCAGCATTTCATCTAAGCACCAATACGCCAATATGGAATTAGATAAACGTCTTTATTGTTAAGACTTATTTGTGGGACTAAATATTTCAGACAAATATGGTAGAAAATGGTATTGCTAGAGCTAGGAAGATATTTCAGGGTTTTCAGGCCTCCAGATAAATTCAATTATTTAAAACTTTATTAATGAGAACAAAACCACATATCTTGAGATTCAAGGTGACTTGAACCGAGACAAGAGACTGATTTTAATTAATTAGTTGAATGATTAATTTAGCAGACTAGAGAGACCAATGTATGATTTAAAAGTACATAATATTGTTTTTTGTTTTTATAAATTACATACATTAAAAACCTAATATACTTTGTTTTAGCACATGAATAATGAAAAAGAAAAAAATTAAATACCTTTCACAATCCTCTTAATAATTTCTTAAGTCTTGAACTTTCACTAACACGAAAAGAATAGATTCATTCCTATGACAGCTTATTGTAAAAGTATAAGAGATTAATGATTTATGATGATACTATGCTAAGTGCAAAGAAGTCTGAAATTTTTAACTGTGAGTGGCATATTTTAAATGAATAGTAAAAATTATTTCACTTTAGAAACAGTGATGCATAAAACCAGTTTTATATCTTGGTGAACAATGGTAATATCGTCATATAATGCACCTGGGAAAAATGCTAATGAATCATATTCCAAGCAATTATGATTACATTTTAATCTTTTTTTTAAAGAAATAAACGCTTTAGTTATTCTGTCATTGTTTTAAATTACAGCCTAATGAAAAGAAATCATTTGCAAAAGTCTGCAACAAATCTCATGAAAATTAGTATGTGCTGTGTAGCACATTCATGTGGTCAGCTTCAGTATTCAGAAACACCTAACTGTAAACATAGTGGTCTTACAGATATTTCTGTTCCAAAATGTACTTTTGATGGTGAGAATGTTTAATATGCTAAATTTTGAGGTTTTTCTTCAACAGAAACTATTCTATATACAGGCTGTCTTCTTCCAGTACTGTGGTTTGCATGTTTCATTGAAAATAGTTTCAAATGCAGTAACAGTGTATGGGATTTATATATCCAGCCCAATCCATATTTTAGGCTCTAGACCTTCCCCCCCCCCTTTTTTTTTTTAAAGAGCAAATCACACACAAACTCATATCCCTTGGAAAATATATTTTCATGTTTTACAAAGCAAAGTCCAGCTTGAAATAACATTAGTTTCAAAATGGCTATAAACATGCTTATTGGTATTACATGGATATATTTTATCAATTTCTTTGACAAATTCAATTTGGTTTCATGAGCTCAAGTGTTTTTGGAGTGTCAAATCAAGATCAACAAATATGGAATAGTGCTAACCCTAGTGGATAGGACATCATAGTTTTCTTCTCAAATTTTTGAGCAAATTCAGTGTTTGTCTATTCAATGCTCTGTGTACTTGCATAGCAATCTCTATCAATTCTCTTCATGTAATAGGATGTTATCCTATTAACATCCTAATAGGCTGTTAATGTTGGACTGGATATAGGTAGAGCCATCCAGATCTAGCTGCTTCCAGGCATCCAGATAGCACCTTAACCTGGTTCAGGAAATCTCGTCACAGAACTAATTAAGTATTACATTATTGGTTAGAACCTAAACTCTTTTCAAGGAATCCTACTGAAATCGTTTGAATTTCACAGAGTTATGCCTGATTTACTCCACTAGCATTACTCAGATATGTACTCAGTTCTTTATATATCTGTTGGCTTGTAGATCAATACTAATGTGATGCATTTCAGTAAATTTGATAGTTAAATTGAATATTATGATTGCAAATTATGTTAAATACTACTGTTCTGGTTTAATAAAGAATAGAGAAAGTTTTGTGTATATACTATTGTGAATACAATGTAATACAGTGTAATAATTTGAAAATTATTTTAGACTTCTGCATCTATATAGTAAAAAATCAATAGAAATAATGTATCAGATGCAAATGTAGTTTGTTTATATTGTAGAATATCAATTTGCAAAGAACAGGGAAATAGATACATTTTTGATGTGGGCTGGCTGGTAACATGAAATGGATTTAATGTCATGTTTTTCATGGTATGGTTAAATGATATTTTATAGCAGTTTGCAGTTGCATTAGCATGCATTAGGCTTATAAGAAGATTAAACACACCTTTATGAATAATACATATTGGAGTGTTTTATCCTTTATAGAAACCCATGCAGATATTCTTATTGATAGCATTAAAGAACTGATAGAAACTAGAACTAATTAAGTAGCCTCAGAGCGTGTAACTAGCTCCTTAGCCATAGTATTATAGGTTTGATTTGATTAAATCAGAAACCTGTTAGATTTGTGTCTTATAATCAGTGCCTGATGAAGAAAATGTTAATTAATATTTTTTATTTAGAAAGCAGTCCTTTTTAAACAGTCTATTATTTGACACAAGGAAGGACCAGTTTTGTTACAGGTCTCCTAATAGGCAGTTGGTTAGAAGTGACTAACATATACATGAAGTCCTCCAAAGAGAACAATGAATTATAAATTTAAATGTTGGTAGGTTTGCAAGCTAGAAACTAGATTATAGTAAATGAAAATAAAAAGTATAGGAAACTGACAATGTATGAAATAGCTGATGTAAGGAAAACATTAAAGGTGACATTATATATTACATACATAATGAATTGAATTGCATTATTATATAGAATGTTCTGGTTTAAATCTGTAAAGATGAGGCCGAGATTAATGAATGTCATTCAAGCCTTCCTTCAATTAGTTGTTTATTATATATGGTATATTTGCACTCTGCATTGATATTATACACCCCACTTTTGAACTTGTTAAAATCCAGGAATTAAAGCAATTGAAAAAGGATCAAACCTGATTTCTGCCTTTATTGTTTGTTTTAGGTGACTTTTACGAAGAGGAAATTTGGGTTAATGAAGAAGGCTTATGAGTTGAGTGTTCTATGCGACTGTGAAATTGCTCTCATAATCTTCAACAGCACCAATAAACTTTTCCAGTATGCCAGCACTGATATGGACAAGGTGTTGCTGAAGTATACAGAATACAATGAGCCGCATGAGAGTCGAACGAATTCAGATATTGTTGAGGTAAGTATTATACTGAATAAGGAGGGTTTCTTTCCCTGTAATGTACTATACTAATTTGAAACTGATTTCATTTTCTATGTGACAATTATCCGAGCTAGTTCAGTTCATAACATTCTCCTACTTTAGTGCATTCTTTTTGCTAGTTCAGTTGGTTTCAGATTTATATTTGTAAAAGAATAAACCTCTCTTAAAATTCAGATACTTCCATCTTATCAAATACAATCTTACAAATTTTTAAAACCATGGATTCATATTTAAAAATATACCCTCCAATATATTTTGTAATGCTCCTGCAAGTGAAATATAATTTATGAGTCTAACCATGCAAATAAAGGAAGCTTTTGGTAAATTTACCTCATACATGTTCCTTAATATATATTGATTGGTATATTATTTTGTTGTTTTCAAGAGAATAATAGCATTGATTTTCAAATGTGTTCTAATTTTTTGCTTGCTGTTATCAATTTACTTTGGAATCCTATGACTATCTTAAACAAAGATGTAAATAGAGCTGCTCCATCTCAGGAACCCTTAAGGTTTTTAAAGAAATGCATACTTTATTGTAACAATCTTAAAGAATTTGCTGCTGATTTCAGTGGAGCCAGAGTTTAAGTGCATGTCTGGTGGCTACTTGTATTTCTGAATCTGCACTTCAATGCAAATACAAAACTGCACAATATAATCTTGCAAAAAATAAGTGAAGTCCTTCCAAACTTCCAAAAATCCCAATGCAAATACAAATATTCTAGTCTTCTACTAAATTTAGAAACAATGTTTTAAGCAATAAAAGTAACTGCTAAAATTTTTGATGATTACTAAAGTTGAATAAATTTATACTTTCAGTCAACTTCTGGAAGAAAAAAATGTAAATAAATTACTGTTATAAGCCTTCCTGTGGATTCTTAGGAACTATTCTTAACATTTACAGCAGATCATTAAAATACTCTTTCTTTTCTTCAGTTCTTGACTAACAACAAATAAGAGAAGATTCTATTCATGAAATTCCTTAATAACAGCATATTAATAAAACAATATGATCTTTCATGATGAGATAGACCACTCTGACCTAACAGAAACCCTATCTTGCCCAACTTGCATTCCCATGTGGCTTGATATTCTCTATTATGAATTATTTGGCTTCAGGAATTTGCCATCTCCATGCTTTGTTTCCACTTTATGACCAATTGAAGAAATCTCTCTCAGAAGAGGTATTTATGGCAATAGAAAGAAATATTACTATCGTGTGAATTACTTAGTTGATTAGAAATGTTGAAATTAGTTATGCTGAATGATTTCAAAATAGAAGTACAGGTACAGGAACAAGACCTGCCACCAGGCATGCAGGATAATTGTAGAATGATTAATATGTTCTACTATTCATTGTAACAGGATATTTCATAGAACACTTTTTGCAAATGCCTTATTTTAATAAACAACATCCACCATCCCAAAAATTAAAAAAAACACACACTTTAAGATTATCAGATGGAAATTTTGCTCCTAAAAATCCCTACATTCTTTGATCTAGATTAGTTTCCCTAGATTTCTTTGAATACTAATAATCTTGTCTTGTCTATTCCCCAAATCATTGATACAGGGACTCATTTTTCATTTTCTCTTCTTGATTCTTTATAGCATCAGATACCTGTCATTAGCAGCAGGCTATGTGAATGTTAATTCTGTAGGAAAGCTCTATTTGCAGCCATGGGATGTTCCCCCACAATTATTGAATAATGTAGCCTTGGAGATAACTCCGACTACTTTTCTCTTATGTTCTTTATAGTACAGTGCTATTTTGCTTTTGTCTGAAGCTGATGGATTTTTTTGGCTTCAAGGGGAAAGAAATGGTTAAATTTGAAAAGTAACGATATTGGTAAACAGCCATGGACAAACAGAAGTACTTCCTGAGAAAAGATGTATATCATCTGTGCTTGGTGACAAATGCATAATACACAATTCTGTGTGTCTGTAGCTGTGGCTGTTTATTAATTTATGTCAGCAAAAGTTTTGGACTCTTTATAACCAAAAAAGCAGTAGTTATAGGAACCCATTGACAATCATTTTAGAATATTTAAACAGTTAAACAGTAATCACACAAAAGAGATACAAAAGGCTTGCTGCATTGTTCTTTACCATATGGCTTGGTAGCTGCTAAAATAGCTTACTAACTTGAAAGGATGTGATTTTCTATATTCAGAACGAAGTATAGAGTGCAGAGGTCATTCCGGATTCAGCAGTGTTTCAGGGTCAGAGGAAATAGTTCTGCAGTATGTGGGGGGTGTTTAGGAAAAAAAAGAATCTTTACATTAGCCAAAAAAATCTTCAGTATAATTATATTGTTTTACTTGATAATTAGCATCACTGTTGCCAGTACAATGAAGCAAGAAAACAAAAGCTGAAGAGGCAGGCAGCTTTGTACACAGAAAGTATCTCAGTACATGTCTTGGTGTAGAACAAAGAATTGTCATCTTTTCAATATTTAAATACATCAGTAAAAGATGTATTTAAAGACAAAACTCTGCACTGCCAATCCTATGCAAACCTGGGTTGCAATTCTGTGGATAATATATTAAGAGCTATACCATTTAATCCTCCAAGACCAAAAATAAAACCCAGATATTTTTAGGGTAGTCAGGTGCTAAATTTCCCTATCTGCTTCTCTACCCAGCTTTAAGGTTGACATTGTCCAAATAAGAATGGAGTAATAGGAAAAAGGGTAATAGGAAAAAGGAACATGGTGGCTCAGTGGCTCAGACACTGAGCTTATCGATCGAAAGGTTGGCAGTTCAGCGGTTCGGATCCCTAGTGCCGGGTAATGGGGTGAGCTCCCATTACTTGTCCCAGCTTCTGCCAACCTAGCAGTTCAAAAGCATTTAAAAAATGCAAGTAGAAAAATAGGGACCACCTTTGGTAGGAAGGTAACAGCGTTCCATGTGCCTTTGGCGTTTAGTCATGCTAGCCACATGACCACGGAAATGTCTTTAGACAGCACTGGCTTTTTGGCTTTGAAACGGAGATGAGCACTGCCCCCCTAGAGTCGGGAACGAATGAAATTGCACTTTAGAATTGTTCCGTCAATTATACTTAAGAATGAGTCTTTTAAGGCAACTTGTATTGTCAAATAAAGGGACTATTCTTCACATCAAGAATGTAGTATTTTTCTAGTACAGGGTGGATCTTTTATTTTTAGTTCTTTTTCAAGACAGCAGAAAATGAATCACTTCCATCTTCTGATTATTTAGCTGACCTTCTGCATTCTTACAGATAAATATTTTATATTCATACGTTTAATTTCTATGGGATTCAAGTGGCCAAACATACATGCTAATGATATGAATGTCATGTCTTTCTAAAATTTTCATTTGATAATTTAGTATTTCTTAGAATGGCCTTGTGAATGCCTTTGTGCAAATCCACAGCAAACCACATTTATGAGAACTTCATGTAGGAATACAGCAAAGCAACGATAAATGTATTTTTAATTGTTTGCTTCCAACAGCAATTGTTCTTAACAAATAAGTCTGTTATTATCTGTAGTTTTTATTAAAACAGTTTTGTTGTTGTTGTTATTATAATGGTACAGAAGAATGACCCAGCTTTTGAATTGTCCTGAACACTTAATTGGTACTCCACAAAAGGCAAAGAATAAGAAAGATGCAGATGTTTCAGGTATAGGGTCTACAGTTCAAAGATTTATTTATTTACTTAGCATATAAAAGAACTCTAAACAACTTATGCCTGTCGCTAAAAAAAAATTATCCTACCTTTAAAAATAAAAATACTATTAGCCCCTAATCCATTTTCTGACCAACAAGTCAAAGAATGGAATTCTACATAATAATCTTTTTTGTTTCTTTTCAAAATACAATTTTTAATCCATGTACAAAAGAAAAGACTCAGTAAAATAAATAAGGAACTTCACTCAAATGTGCCTTTCCAAAATGCAACTGGACTTTTTTGGGTTTTTTCTTTGATTTCACTTCTCATCCAAAAAGCTCTGGGACAACAATGATCTAAATGATTGAAAATCTCCATAGACATAAAGAACTTAACTTTTTGCCTGAATTTACAAAACTTTATTTTTATTGGCACATTTTGTTTCTAATGTGCAATTTAGCAGCCGAACAACCCTAAGGAAAGTACACTGAATTTGACTAAGACACATTAGACCAATCAATCTTAGAAGGTAAACTGTTAGTATAGCAATTAGATTCAGTTGTTTGCATTCACCTGTTCATTGTTTTCTAATAGAAAATTAAATGGGTTTTTGTGTGTGTGTGTGTGTGGGGAGATATCACAGTCTTTCTGTTCTCTTGCTTTTTTTTTAACCTTATGTTTTCTTACCTCAAGATACCTTGCTTATGTTGCTGAATTATTTCAGTCCTGCATAGCAGATTTAGGTCAGGGCGTGATAAAACAAAAACTATTATTGCAACTGAACCTTTTGTCCTTTTAAACAATTTAAGAACAACAGTTCTTACCAAAATTGCTAACATAGAATCATAACCCTTCCATGAATCAAAATGTAAACTTAGAATCTGCATATTTTATCAAAACATTGTTAAACAAAAATGTAAAATAATTGGCCACTTTTTGAAATGTTACATATGAATTGAATTTGTTGTGGGGTCCATTGAACACTTAGCATCTGGGGAGAAGATATCGGAGAATTTTAATCCAAGATAATGTTATAAGGTTTTATTCTGCTATCATTTGTGCTCTCATGTTCTTATTGTCTATGGTTTTAATACACATTAAAGTGTTGATCAGTTCCAACATCTGAACATCTAGTTGGTGTTTTTGTTTAATTTAATTTTAATTTAATTTTTTGCCCAATTCCTCCTTCATTCTTACATAGAATATCACAAATCTTTAAAGTCCTACAGACAGTCTGTCTAATTTTGCTTTTCCACTAACTCTGTTTCTTTCGATTTATGCTTCTCCCTGTCATCCAGACAATCACTTGTCTTCTCTGTTAAATCTGGTACATCAATCTTTTA